ATACCACAAAAGAAAGGTTGGGATTGATTTTGGGGGTTATGGTACCAACAGTTAAGGAATAAGGGGCCAAAAAGGGGCCAAAAATAAGCATTTTTGTAACTTCCAGACATAACTTGTGTGTTAGTGTATGGATCTCTGACATTGTACCACAAGGTTCCATATCACTAAGGGAATGCTGGGATTGATTTTGGGGGGTAATTGCCTCAAAATATTAGGAATTAGGGGCCAAAAAAGGGGCAAAAACCAAGCATTTTTCTAGTTTCATGACAATAACTTGTGTGTAAGTGTATGGATCTTTATGAATTTGTACTACAAGGTTCCATATCACAAAGAAAAAGCTGGAATTGAGTTTGGGGGTAATTGCCCAAAACGTTTAGGAAAAAGGGGTCAAAAATAAGCATTTTTCTAGTTTCCAGACAATAACTTGTGTTCAAGTGTATGGATCTCTCTGAAATTGTACTGCAAGGTACCATACCACTAAGGGAAGGCTGGGATTGATTTTGGGTGTAATTGCCTCAAAATTTTAGGAATTAGGGGCCAAAAAGGGGCAAAAAACAACCATTTTTCTAGTTTCAGGACAATAACTTGTGTGTAAGTGTATGGATCTTTATGAAATTGTACTACAAGGTTCCATATCACAAAAGGAAAGCTGGGTTTGAGTTTGGGGGTAATTGCCCTAAACGTTTAGGAATTTGGTGCCAAAAAGAGGCCAAAAAAACAAGCATTTTTCTAGTTTCCAGACAATAACTTGTGTTCAAGTGTATAAATCTCTCTGAAATTATACTGCAAGGTACCATACCACAAAGGGAAGGCTGTTATTGAGTTTTGGGGTGATGAATCATAAGGGGGTTCAAAAAATTGGGGGGGGGGGATTTTTTTTCCTTTTTTTTTTCTTTAAAATTTTCCATTTTAAATTGGTTATTTCTGATTTATATATAAAAGCAAATAATTATGATATGGTTTGAATAGGTAAATTAAAAATTTTTAAGTTCTTAGAACACATTCATTCTGTGTCAGAAACCTATGCTGTGTCAAATATTTAATCACAATCCAAATTCAGAGCTGTATCAAGCTTGAATGTTGTGTCCATACTTGCCCCAACTGTTCAGGGTTCGACCTCTGCGGTCGTATCAAGCTGCGCCCCAGCGGAGCATTTTATTATTGTTCGTTCTTATGTTGTACTGTTACACCACTGTCCCAGGTTAGGGGGAGGGTTTGGATCCCGCTAACATGTTTAACCCCGCCACATTCTGTATGTATGTGCCTGTCCCAAGTCAGGAGCCTGTAATTCAGTGGTTGTCGTTTGTTTATGTGTTACATATTTGTTTTTCGTTCATTTTTTGTACATAAATTAGGCCGTTAGTTTTTCGTTTGAATTGTTTTACATTGTCATTTCGGGGCCTTTTATAGCTGACTGTGCGGTATGGGCTTTGCTCATTGTTGAAGGCCGTACGGTGACCTATAGTTGTTAATTTCTGTGTCATTTGGTCTCTTGTGTAGAGTTGTTGTCTCATTGGCAATCATACCACATCTTCTTTTTTATATTTAAGGTTAAGTTTTGGTGGTCAAGTCCATATCTCAGATACTATAAGCAATAGGTCTAGTATATTCGGTGTATGGAAGGACTGTAAGGTGTACATGACCAACTGGCAGGTGTCATCTGACCTTGACCTCATTTTCATGGTTCAGTAGTTATAGTTAAGTTTTTGTGTTTTGGTCTGTTTTTCTTATACTGTATGCAATAGGTCTACTATATTTGGTGTATGGAATGATTGTAAGGTGTACATGTCTAGCTGGCAGGTGTCATCTGACCATGACTTCATTTTCATGGTTCAGTAGTCAAAGTTAAATTTTTGAGTTTTGGTCTTTTTTTCTAACACTAAATGCAATAGGTCAACTATATTTGGTGTATGGAAACATTTTATGATTAGCGGAAACTGCAACTTGTGTGGACACTTTGTTCAAGATACACTTTACCATCAAATTAGTATGTGCACAGAACTTCTCTCACAAAGACACTTGCTATATAAAAGATTATCAGAAATGACTAGTGACAATTTCTTATACACACTGCTTTCGAAATCAGACGAGAACGTGTCTTGCTTTCTGCTTGGCAATCAGGAAGCTCTCTTGGACTTTTTAGCACCAGAGCATTGTTTGGAAGTCCTTAACGAAGGATTTTCCTTTCTAAAATACTGTAGACTGTAAATACTTTTCCATCCAAAATATTAAGTGACATTCTATTATATAATTTCAAAACTTTATAATTGTACATGATTTGTATATGCATGTTGTCAATCTCCTATAGGAGGAAATAAAAGTATGATGATGACCATGACCTCATTTTCATGGTTCAGTAGTCAAAGTTAAATTTTTGAGTTTTGGTCTTTTTTTCTAACACTAAATGCAATAGGTCAACTATATTTGGTGTATGGAAACATTTTATGATGTACATGTCAGTCCCGCAGGTTTAATTTGACCTTGACCTTATTTTCACGGTTCATTGCTCAGTGTTAAGTTTTTGTGTTTTGGTCTGTTTTTCTTAATCTATAAGCAATAGGTCAACTATATTTGTTGTATGGAAGGATTGTTAGCTGTACATGTCTGCCTGGCATGGTTCATCTTATCTTCACCTCATTTCCATGGTTCATTGGTCAATGTTTAGTTTTCTTGGTTAAGTCTGCTTCTTAGAAACTATAAGCAATAACGGTAGGTCAACTGTATTTAGTAATTTGAATGATTGTAAGGTGTACATATATTTCTTGTCAGGTTTATATGACCTTGAATTCATTTTCTTGGATCATGTTGAGTTTATGTGATAGTTGTAGTAAAGCTTTATATTTAGGACTATCAACATGATATCAATGATTAGTAAAGAAGGCGCAACATTTCAGTGTGTGCACTCTTGTGTATACATTAAACACCACATTTACTGTTTTTACCCTGATTTTATGGATCACTGAACATAGAAATGTCATAATGTGAAATTATAGTACATTCTTAGGTTAAAGTTTTAGGTTAAGGTACATAGCTTACCATGAAGTTGAATTTCATGCACATGTTCATTATGTGGTGAATATTTAAATTCAGTGCCAAACTAAGATTTTGAGCCTGATTACATGATTGACTAGACATTGACACATGCTAGTGTTTGCCAGGCATTGTGTCCTGTACTAGGAATTTGTCCTGTACTAAGAACTTTAATAGTACTCGCTGAGTATGGAGTTTTTGTGAAAGTTTAATATTAGTGAGATTTTTGCATGACATCCTGTCAACTGCTTGTTGATCATGTTTATACATGTCTTAAAATTAATATCTGACACATTGGTGTTTTGTGAACTTGGAAATAAGTTATTTGATAGAATAATAATGTTTTGAGATTATCAAAATAAAAAATATCCCATTTTTACTACATTGTGTATTAATGATTAAGTATATAAAAAAGAAGATTTAGGATATATGTATAACCATATATAAAAATGAGACAGCAACCAAACAACACAAAAATAAGAAAAAAAAACCAATATAATTTTTTGTATCAATGTTATAATTTCCAACATGTCCAAAGAGTTCAATGTATTTTCTAATTGAAATAAAACACAAGTGGAACTCTTTCAGAACTTCAGAAGCTTAAAGAAGTGCTGTTTCTATTGTTGGCTTTCTGTATAATATATTGCAAATTCTTGTGAAAAATGGAATTTTATTGTAATTGCCTAAAGTTTTAACATTGATCTATATATATATATAACTGGGGAAAATACCCAAATGTTATAAAGAAGAATACATAAATTGTGATTGTTATATAATATTAGAATAGGAAGATGTGGTATATTTCTAATTTGACAACTCTCCATCAGAGACCAAAGGATGTAGGAGGTTAGCAACTGATGACACTGGACAACCTTCAACAATCAGTAAAATCCATACCGCATAGCTATTTTTATTGAAAATCATATGTTCTTGCTACATGTATGTATACAATTTTTTATTATCCATAACTTCGGATTTTCTTGGTTCTTTTTCAGAAGGATTGGAATTCATCACTGAGAATAGAAGGAGAAAACACAGAAACAAGACCAAAATAAATTCAAAGACAAAAGTCAGATTAGCTATTATTTTCATCACTCAGCCAATGAATTGCAGGTCTATTAAATATCTAAAGATATTAAAACCACAATAATGACAATGTTCTGTGCTGAATGGCAAAAAAAGTGGACTATACATTACGATCACACAATGCTGGATGATAAGAAACTATTAATTTTTTGGGTGGAGGGATATCCTGAAAAAAAAATAGATTTATGTAAAAAGCTAGTAGTATGTTAAGCCTATTAATAGAGTTTTCATTGATTTCAAATGGGAAAAAATTGTGTTTCAAAAAAGTGTTCTAGAATTCATAAATAAACATATATTGATACTTACATTATCTGCTTTGTTGTTTAAAAGTTTAGTTTTGAACAGTTATAGAACAATATAATTGCATTAACATTTCCAAGGAAAAAAAAGATATTCAACTAAAAAGATTCATCTTAAAACAATTTACTACCAAACAGAATTCATTGTAACATACACATTTATTTACTGTATATTTATAATTTGAATCATAGGATTTTATTTTGTCCCATGGGATATTAAAAATCCCATGGGATAATTATAGTCCCATGGGATTTTGTTTGTCCCATGGGACAACAAATATCCCATGGGACTACAATTATCCCATGGGACCCAAAAAAATCCCATGGGATTTAACCAAAATCCCATGGGATAATGGTCAATCCCATGGGATTTGCCTTATCCCATTGGATATTGAAAATCCCATGTTTTTCTAAATCAAATTACAAAATATATATAATAATAACAGCAGAAAAGCAATGAAATTATTGAATCCCATGTAATTCCGCACATTTTGGTTATTTACACGACACTGTAGGTCGAAGGAGAGGCGGCGGCGGATTTGCAAATGAGTGTTTTGCAAATTAAAAGTGTCCAGTGTTTATTTATTAAATTGATTCTCTTATTATTCTGGAATACGTTTTAGTAGTGGTAGAATTAGTTTTATCTTCAGCATTTGTTGTTTGAAGCCTTTAGTTCCGTCTGTGCTCTCAGTTTTCTATACAGGTATACAACTGCAGCAGCAGATGACAAAATGGCAACAATAAAGGCAATCAGACCAAGAATCAAAGGTAATTTATTCATGCATACGTTGTCATTACCGTCGTCATCTGAAAATATATATAGAATAAAACATAACGTGATGTGCCGTTCACACGTGTATTCTGTTTACTTAGAGTGTAAATCTGATGAAGTTGACCAGTGTGTACCCATGAAATTGATTAAAACCCGTCACATTTGACTTTAGATAGCAAGTCATGTCAATATGATTCTGTAATGGTTTTATAGCTGAGATGTTTTATAAATTGAATGCACAGGCACTTGTCTCAGAAATTTTTTTTCCTATATACCTTAATGTTATGTTAAGGTATATAGGATTTTTTTTTTTAGGTATATAGGAAATTTTTTTTCTGAGACAAGTGACTATGATTGAATGAATTAAAATTTTGGATCGTGGCTCGTTAATGCTTTATTATTATTTTGAAAATTTATTTTAAGCTATTTTCAAGTCAATATATATATATTTTCATTAACTGCTGTACACACCTTCAATAACTACATCATTAGCTATAATTCTAAGTGTTGATCCAACATTGATGTCATCGAATGGTGAATTGTCGTCTGCGCCTCTCTTTTGACGAAGACTCCCTGAAACAATGACGTCCATCACATCTCTTCTTTTTCTTCCAAAACCGTTCTCGCCACTTTGACATGTTGTCTAAAATATTATTAAAACATTATGGATTGAACATACAAGGATATGTTGTTATCCTTTGCTTGTTCTAAGTTCCTGAATCCAGTCATTTTACTGTTCTGTTCTAACTGAGGATAAAATTCAACTATATTCGAAACATTTATCAGCAGTATGTTAATCCTCATACTTATACATATAAGTGAGGTACTACTAGCTTCTATGTGTTATATTACAAGAAATGTGGTAATCGTTTACTTTAGCGTCTTTTGACATTTTTTGGGGGTCTCTATTTATTGACAATTGATACACAACATCTTTTGAATTCGTTTCTTTAGAAAGCAAAAATCAAAATTCTGCAAAAAGGCTCTTTCTTAATTAAGTTGTAGATTCCACTTACTACTGAACAGCTTCCCAGGCAAACTTGTAACGAGCATGTGAATGTCATAGGGACCGATCCACCATTAAGATCGGTTGTACGGAAAGCTCCGAAAGTAGCAGACAAGTAACCTTGAGCTGGTTTTGCATATTCTGGAAACAGTTCTGTATCAGTTGCACAGCTGAAAAAAATGACGCCAGAAACTCAACTTTTCATTCCAACGAATACTTTATGTTGTCTAACTTTTTTTTACCAAGAGTTTAGCCGTTTTCTTTACGCATTTATCAAAGAATTGAATGCTTCTTTTTGTAATTTATTACAGCGTTGACTGGAGCACATTATGCATGAAGCGCGGAAAATTTTATAACCGAGTATTCTAGCTAGTTATTCCCAGAATTACCAGAATAGCCGAATATGGTGCTTTGATTTTCCATAGAAACTTACGTGAAATATTTGGTACTAGATAATTTTAGCTAATGTTTTAAAACAATTCTTCAGAACTTTATTGCAAGAAAATAAAATCAAAACAAGCATTAGCCCATTAGTTTTCTGGCTTGAATTGTTTCACATTATTAATGTCGCGGCCTCTTAAAGCCAACTTTACGGTATGTTTTTTTTCTCATTGTTGAAGACCGTACGGTGACCTATAATTCAATATAACTGTGGTGGATAGCTGTCTCATTGGCAATCATACCACATTTCTATATTTTTACATTATTATACATATGTGTACATCATTGCCCTTTTAAAAATTGCAATGTTTTACCTTCTCATTGAACAAATCACATAAATATTTTGAAAGTCAGTTGGTTTTTTATAATCAAATCATTAATAACATTTTTATAAGTTACATGTAAGCATTTGTAATACCGTATTCGTCATATATCTTATGCGACATATTTACATTGAGAATTATAGTAAAAAATTTTTTTTCAATGTGTTGTATAGAGGAGTGTTTGAACTTAATTTCCATGACACAGTTTTTTAGCTAATGTGTGTGAGAAGTTTTTTTTCCGCAATACTTACGAATTTTCAATTATTGGGATGGTTGAAGCTGTGCAATATTTTGCTTTGATGTCAAAATCCTCTACAACGAAAAACAGAGACAATTACAAAATGTAACAATCGGGAAATTATGATTTGCAGAGAAGTGTATAAATGATACATGGTTGATATATAAATACCAAAAGTAGCAAAACGTTTTCGGGGAAACGTGGAGTAAACACGTAGATTATGTTTTAATCAGCAGATATTGAAAATACTATTTTCCGTCAAATAAAAAAAAAAAAAATTTAAAATACGTTTTGTAATTATAAATTCGTCTATGCTATAGATAAAAAAGAAGAATGGAAAAGAATGTAGAAATCAATTTCCATTTTACGGCATGAATTTTCTGTATGCTTCAATAATATGTTTTTTTATACTTAAGAAAGGGGAGGGGAAAAAAATTGACAGTATCCTGAATAAACTGTTGGTAAAACTTACGAAGATATTCAGCATCAAGCTCCATGGTCAAAGTCAACATGTCAGTAAGTTTAACATTACCACCGGTTACATCAACTCCGTTGCTGTACAATTTCATAAAAGCTGTTGGCTTCACAGTTAAATTTTGTCCGATGTCATCGTCTTTGTCCCTGGAAAAGAAGTAGTTAAAATAAAGACATGTCCACATTATTGAGGACAAATGCTGAATTTTGTTTTTCATGAATAGATAGAAAGATAGATCTTCTGACATAATCTTGGTAGTTTGTAATGATTCGTAGAAAAAGTTTATTTATTACTAAGAATTTATGAACTTACAAGTTGTTGGCATCTCCGCTTAAAGATATATCCGTCAGGTCAGCTAAACACATAATTGGTATTTGTTTATCATCTCCTGTCTGGTACAATTGTTTCTTCTGAACAATTATCTTAAACGATGATTCCTGTTATATAGAGAGAAAAAAGCCGCCCATATATATTGTAAGTTTCTTCATCAGTGAAAATATCTATTGGATAGATATATGTCAGATCTGAATAAATGAATCAAAATCATATTGAATTGGAATGTGAATTTTAAATATAAATAGCAAAGAATCGAATTCCCTACTTGACAGAAAGAAATAAAACTTTAGCTCGTTTTGAACAGTGTGGAGTACTAGCACAGAAACAACAAATGCAAGATATAAACTGTTTTCTTCAAACAAAATACCATTTGAGCCTTCTTTAAAAAATCGCTTCTTAGAACCATAAATATTTAAATTTAACATCTTCGTCGTCTGATAAAACTGTTTTAAAAACATATTTCAATTTTGTGGAATCCTTCAGCCAGCCGTCGTACATGCTACAGAATCAACATATGATTACATAATGTTTAAAAAGCAGTCCGTTTGAAATCAGTGAGGCATCCACACGGTTGCACTCTCCAGTAAAAACACTAGAGAAAAATAATTCATTTCTGTGTTCATTTCTCTGCTTTTATTTATAGGAAGTAAATGTAGTTGTAAATTGCTACTAATTGATAGATTTATCGATAATGTTTTGGATTCGTAAATTATATGTTCCTAACATACTTATCATCAAACAGTTATAATCCTGAAGCCTGAATACTCACCCAAGCTATACCACAAGCAACAAAGTTAAATTCATGAGTGTTCGATCCTGTCGTTGTCAGTTGCTTGCAAGCGGCCCCTTGACCCTGGATATAAATGATCCCATTCTGAGCGGCATCGTTTAGTGTTAATTTTAGATTACTCTTTGTACAGCTGTCAACTGTCACTGAAATGTAGACAAATACATTGTTTACTTGGTTTTTAGTCGTAAATTTTTTCTCTGAAAATGAGAAAACTATATTTAACATTATAACTCAATATCAATATGTTCTCATACAAATAAATCGTGAGATATTTTTTTTTATTTCAATAGCTATATATACAAATTATATAATAATCGACTTTATCAAATTACTAATCGCTCCGTTGATCACAATGAGTATTGCTGATTGCTTAAATTTACATACATAGTCTAAATTTCCCGAAATCGTATATATAAAATAGACAGAGTTTCATATTTCTCATGTCGCGGCTTTTAACGCCGACTAAAGTCTGTAATTGCTAACATCCAGTTCATTTGAACTCGGGTGGATAGCTGTCTCATTGGCAATAATACCACATCTCCTTATTATTTTTATAAAAACGCCGATCGAAAATATCGGTATAGCAGCTTCCACCTTATAACTTCAGCTAATACAATTGCGAGAACGACAATCCAATTTATCGACACTTTTCGACAAATTCGCCATATTTTATTTGTAAATGTTGAAATCAAAGTGGTATTAAAAATAACAATATCATAAAAAAAAACGTGTTTTATGAACTGCAGGGTGCTTGTTTGAGATTTTGTTTTCTCTTGATTGTTCTTTATTATCTGTTTTAACAATTTCTAAGCAAAATGTCCGTAATTCATGCAATTATGGTGAAAGACATGATGACCCTTTCTTACATACATTTAACCGTGAAAGCCAAAATTGGAATGTCCAAACTTTGGAAATTAGTTATAATAAGCATCAATTTATTCAAAATTTGTTGCAAATTATGAATTGACGAAGACAAAATATCAGAAATAAATGAATACTTACGAGTAGGAGAAAACTGAGCCAGTGATCCAGTCAAAACTAGACTCAAGACAAAAGAAATTCTAAACATTTCCATTCTTCTGAGAAAAAAAAAATAAAATCTTTGAAAACACTTATATGAAAATGTGATTTATGAAAAACATTTGAAGAAAATGAGCAGAAAAACAAATTTTTGAATATCAGTTTTGTTGGAAACTTGACATTTCGTTACTTCAAAGACATATTTTTTTTCAAAGTATCAAAACATAATTTTTGTTTGTTCAAAGACGTCAACCAGTCAAGTTACTGAATTAACACGCGCACTTGCTGATTTGTATAATAATTTCCAATACAGTAGATGCGACTTACCTTGGAGTTTTATTCTTAAGAATATACAACAAACATGAAAAAAGTAATTATAATAAGTAATTATTAAATTGTCATTATTTTCTATACATTTCTTCGTTTGAATGAAAACATCTTCCCATATCTAAATTTAATAGAACAAAGTTATATTTTCATTATTTTATATTAATTTATTTTCGCAAGCGATTTGCCAAAAAAAGTTATCGATAGTGATCATTGAGTTATGCTGCTTTTAACGTTAAAATCGTTGAAATATTATACTGTTCTGACGTCTCAAATATAATACTTTTCTAGTATTTTTATATTTATCACAATATACTAAATATTGGAATTAAAAGTTACATTGGATATTTACCTTATGCAGAACAACTGGAATCTCTCAGGAGGTCAGGAGTGTGCCAGTTAGATGTAAGCGGACTTATTTATACATATTTTCAGTAAAGGTAAATTATTCTACCATAATTAATTCAGTTAAATAAAGTTAGTTATTAAGTTAATATTGTTTAACAATTATTGATAGTTCTGAAGTTATAACCCAAGATGGAAACAAAATCAAACAATTTTTTCAACATAATAATATTAACCCGAAAATATATTATGCACCAGTAAAAGACTTTTATCTATATTAATAGTAAATCAAGTTACTTCTGGTTCTTCAAGCCTTTGTGATGAATCAGAATCATAAATTTGTTCCTTAACTTTTATCTTTCGACAAAATCGCCTCTTAAATGACACCCTCTAATAAAAAAGAATTATTTTTATATGCTTTTAAACTTGTCGTAAAAAAAGAAGTCAGAATTTCAAACTTGTGCTGAAATAACAGATTTACAATAAACAAAACAGGACTTAGAAAAGTTCTTTTGCTCTCAGTAAGAAATGGAAGTCAAGGTGTCACGCCAATTTTATATAACATTGGATTAAAATAAAAATATATGTACGAAACAATTTATGCAGACTGCTTGCTGTTTGTGTTTTGATCTTTTTCATTTTTTGACATGTCATAGTGAACTCTTTTTCCACTTATGAGTTTGAATATTCCTTTGGTATCTTCCGCGTCCCTTGTATAGTCAAAGTAGAACACATCTGAACGAATAGAGAACTCTTTGGGCAATACAAACTCAGCACTAACACTAGGAGTTATATCAGATGCTTCTATGTAAAGATAAATTCTTGTTTGGCAAGCGACATCTGTGGTAATGCCCAGTGGTAAAATATTATAAAAAGGCAAATTTAAAGTTGATCAATTTAAAAGTTGGAAGATTTCGGAAAATATTTTACTTGTAACTAATTGTTACTCATAGCAAAAAAAAAAATCCGTTCATGTTACCGTCGAGCAAAAGAGTACGGGGTTATTGTTACAAGTGGAAAAGTTTCGTTATCTATGACCCAGATATTCAAAACGGTCAACCAGATGTCACCTGTAAACTTTTCTAGAGTTGACGTGAACTTAATCATTGTGAACCCTCCATGCATTAGTTTCAATCTTAGCAGTTACCCTCTTTCAAAATCATGAAAGGAAACGCAAGGACTGGAAAAATTGTATCAACTTGGAGATTCATACTGCATATGCAGACGCTGTCGGAATGTTGCTACACAAAAATGGAAAGTTCGCAATGGAAAAAAAAAACAATTTATTTTGTCCTAAAGCTGAATTTTCAAATGACCTTTAATGCCAATTTCTTGATGAAAGATCTTTTGGTTCTGTTTATTGGGAAATATACAGTTAACATAGTCACTAAACTTTGAATAATTCAGTAAAAGGACATCATCTATAAAGCGGAAAGCGCAGATAAAGGACATTGACAGCTTCTTCTCATTTAAAGCTCACTTGTACCAAAAAGTCTTGTGAGCTTTTTCTCATCACTTGGCGTCCGTCGTCCGTCATCTTCCAATAACTTCAACAAAAATGTTCTCCTTTGTAACTACTGGACCAATTAGAACCAAACTTCACCACATTCATCCTTCGAGTACCTAGTTTAGAAAAAGGTTTCCGATTATCCCGCCTGCCAACTAACATGGATGCCAAGCGTTAAAAATAGAACATGGTGGTAAAAATATGACATGGTGGTAAAAAAGCGTTGTCCATTATCTTTACAACCGTCGTAGATCGAGAAATCTAAAGAGAAAGAAATGTTCAGAATAGCAAAATCTATATACCTTACATTTGTACAAAATCTGTCGAACATCTCCTTATTAGGGGTATTGCCCATATATCATGATTTTTACAATATTTTGTCACTCCTTATATAAATTTTATTATTAGAAGAAAAAAAGTATAACAAAAATACCGAACTCCAATGTAAATTCAAAAAGGGGAAACCATAAAAACTGACTAAATCAAAAGTTAGACTTTATCAACCAACGGAACGAATGGACAAATGTCATATACCTGACTAGGTACAGACATTTTCCGAAGAAATTGTTTGGTTAAACTTGGTTTTATAGCAAGCTAAACCTCCCACTTGTATGACGGATGTTTAAAGTTCCGTTATATTGAAAAATTAGGGGAGCAACCCAAATAGTCATAATAGGTAAATCTGACAATAATTGGGATTCATCAACCAAACTGTGTAAACATACATCACAAACATGCAACGCAATGAACTCAAATATTCAAACAAACATGCATACAAATAGATATAATAAAGACGTCAACAAAAAAGATTTTGTAATTGATAGTGCGTTCAGTATTTAGTAAACACTTTATCGAATGAGTACAAATTAAATAAAATATGAAGACAAGGGTAATCAAAATGAAAATAACATTATAAAAACCTTTTGCCTTCGAATCACGCCCCTGGACCCACCTGCGTCAGGAACGCCTAAAACCAAAAAACCCGATAGCTGGATGCATAAATACTAAGTCACGTCTAGAATCATACAACCAAAAGGAACATAACATAATAACACAAAGACAAATAAAGGGAAAACTGTAAAGTAAATAAAATGATACACAACTTCAGCACCTAGAATTTTCAAATAAAGACCATCTTGTATTATTTGTGAAATAGACACTGACTATTTATCTATTAGGTCTTGGTACTTTCCGACGAACTTTTTTGAGAAAAAGGACGAGACGCTCTTTGACAAAACCTTGTCTCAACAATCTTTTGCTCAGACACCGATGACGTTCTACACAGTCTGTGTAGCAACTGCAAGCTTTTAAATATCGTATGAGTTGAGCAATGTATACTCCATACGCGGATGAAGTTGGTATATTGCTGCTAAAGTGAGGAGAATTTATAATATCAAAATTGAAATAGTCTTGTTTGTCATAGATTCTGGTACTGAGATGAACGCTGTAGTCAAATTCGAGGTTTATGTCTAGATATGAGGCAAAGGAAGCTGTTTCTGTGTTTTCTCTAATCTCTAGTTCAGGAAGATATATGAATGGGACTCAATTAGAAAATTTTGTATTGTTAATTGAAAGAACATCATCAATATACATGTAAGAGAAATTTTAAGTGATCAAGCTTCTTTGGTCTTTTTTTTTACAAGTGTCTGAAGGAACTCCAACTCATATGAGAATAAGGAAAGGTCGACCAGGAGAGATGCACTGTTGGTTTCAATACAAATGCTTACAATCTGCTGGAAAAATTCTACCTTTGAATTCAACAAATATGTTGTCAAAGAGAAACTCCAGCATACTATCACTTGTTCTTCGGTGTAGCATGTTTTATTTTCTATAAAACAATATTGATTGAAGCTTTGTCTGCTTGAATAACAATATATATTTCGTGAAGAGACTTCAAACATTTTACAGTTTCTCTGAATACGTTATCAGGTCAAATATTTACAGTTTTCAACTTGTAGATTATACGCTGTATCAACGACCTAATTGCTTTAGCCCATTCTGACTGAGTGTCTAGTTCAACCACTTCTGCTGGAAAATTTCTAACTTTAAATTCAACAAATATGTTGTCAAAGAGAAACTCCAGTATACTGATCACTTGTTCTTTGGTGTAGCATGTTTAATTTTCGGGCAAAATATGCGAATTATATCCTAAAACAATAAATTATAGCATATGCTACCATTTTTATGGAAGAAAGCATTGTGGATCATATTTTTTAACACGGGATTTTATTTTTCCATGTGGCATGGGGGTGTAAAGGGTGGAAACAAGGTTTTGAGAGAATTTATTTCAGAGAATGAGCGATATTTGAAATTTCCAGAAGTTCTTTTAAGTCTTTAAGAATCCATATATGATCAATGCAACTAGTTGAAGTACGCGAGTAAACAGTGTCACAATATTTCCCTTTTTCATTGCAGACAAAATTTTGATTAATCGAACGGTAGAAAATGCAGATGAGCCGGCAATGTACCGTTGTTTGTACGGAACGCTGTGAAGTTTAGGTATCCAATACAAACAAGGTAAGTCCTCAGATTTGTTGCTCATTGAATTATTGAGGCCATGAAGGACTTGGGGTTTGCCAAGATAGATCTCAACCATATCAAAAGTTACGTTTTTGTATGTGGGATTAGCCGAGTGTTCATTTATTCCTAGTTCTTTGAGAAGACGCTAAGACACTTGTAGAAACAGGATTTACAGACAAAAACAATATTGACTGAAGCTTTGTCCGCTTGAATAACAATATATATTTCATGAAGAGACTTCAGACATTTTACAGCTTCTTTGTCTCTGAATACGTACTCAGGTCAAATATTTACAGTTTTCAACTTGTGGATTATACGTTGTATCAACGACCTAATTGCTTTAACCCATTCTGAAAGAGTGTCTAGTTCAACCACTTCTCGTTTTGCCTATATTCTGGTGTATTCCTCGAATTTGATTCCTGATTGGAGTTATTTAACTTGAAAGACTACTTTTACCAATGTTTGTGTTTTTTGCAGAACATACATATTAGATACAGAGACACTGTAAACATAAGAAATGACCAGTAGGTCAAGATTAACGTTAATTTTATTGTATCGTGAGGGCTCTTTTTGGATCTGTTGGACACATACTTCCTGTTTGACGATACTTTAAATTAAGAGTTGGGGTTTAAAGCCACCATCACGACTCAGTTGACAGATACGATATGTCGGTTACTCAACTCACTAGCGACATGTTTTCACGGTCTTAGATCTTTTGATACCAGTATAGTAGTCTGATCCGTAATTTTACCGAACGTGAACTATTCCCAATTGTGAGATTTTGACTGAATGTAAGTTCTTCGCAACGCAGGTGATGCATGCAGAGTTGGTAAAAGTTATATCACTGCATTTATGAATGGAATCAGCGAGGTTAAGCAAAAATATGATTTTACTGAATATAGTACGAAAAACTGATATCTAACCATAACTTTAGGATAAATACCGTTTAATGAGAAACTACTGACGATCTCAAAATCATTAGAAAGGGATCATTTTGTAGGTTAA